GACCCGCCTGCCTCTGCCTCCCAAGTGCTGGGATTAAAGGTGTGCGCCACCACGCCAGGCTGAGTTTTTATTTTTTATTATAAAAGAGGTGCTGGGGCTGGAGAGTTGGCTCAGCGGTTAAGAGCACTGACTCTTCTTGCAGAAGCCCAAGGTTCAATCCACATGGCGGCTGTAAACTGTCCTTAACTCAGATTCAGAGGAATCTGAAGCCCTCTTCTGACCTCTGCAGCATTGCACGACACGGGTATACTCACATACATGCAGGCAATACACTCATACACATAAAATAAAAATAATAAAATATTTTTTTGAAAAAGAGGTGCTGGGTTTTTATAAGATGCTTTTTCTGAGACAGTTGACAAGGTCATATTTCTTTTTGGTTTTTTCTTTCATTCTGTTAATGTATGTTTCATTGAATGAATTTCGTATGTTGAACCATTCTTATACTGCAGGAATAAATCCCGCTTGCTTGTGGCATATATAATCTTTTTAATACTATTGAATGCAATTTGCTAGTACTTTGTTGAGAGTTCTTGAATAAGTAATAACTGGTTGGTTTGTTTTTTTGAGACAGGGTCTCACTGTGTAGCACTGGTTGCCCTAGAACTAATTATGTAGACCAGGCTGGCCCTAAACTCACAGAGATCTGCCTGCCTCTGAGTGTTGGGATTAAAGGTGTACACTACCATGCCCACCTGAATAAGTATTCTTTTTTTTAACATTTTTATTTATTTTATTTTTATGTGTATGAGTGTGTTGCCTGCATGCATGTGAGTGCACCAGTGTCTTGCAGTACCCACAGAGGTCAGAAGAGAATGTTTGATCCCCTTGTACTGGAGTTACGGACAGTTGTTAGCTGCCGTGTGGGTGCTGGGAATTGAACCTGGGTCCTGTGCAAGAGCAGCCAGTACTCTTAACCACTGAGCCATCTCTCCAACCCCTGAATAAGTATTCTTAAAGGTTACTGATGTATGATTTTCCTTTCTTGAAATTTTCCCGGCCCAGGGCCTGTGTGGTTTGCTTGGTATTTTGTTCCTGTTGGGAAGAGGAAGCTCTGTTTCGTAAACCTTTGTTGATCACCAGGTCTAGGTATAGCATAGAGACAGTAAAGGCCTCTAGGGCTAGACGAGCTTATGTGCCCCAATTTACTATTCCTCTGCCCTACTGCCTACTCTGGTCCTCATCAAAATCAAGGGACAGTAGAGTGTTTGGGCAGGTGCACAGTGGCCCACTCATGGAATGGAATACTGAACATTGGTAACCGGGGTTCCAGCTCTACACTGCAGTGAGAACCTCCAGGATCATGTGGAGGGAACAAAACCAGCCCCATGGGGTCGGGCCCTGTGGCATCAGTGACAGCCAGTTTGTGAAAAAGCAAATGTTTCTAGGGATGAGGCTCCAGGACAGGTGCATCCGTGAGCTACATGGCAGGCTGATCTGTAAAGCAGTCATGTTAGGGTGCAGACAATGGCTTAAAATAGGCTCAGGAGCTGTCTCTGAAGAGTGACATGCAAGCTGAGTCCTGCCTGGCCAGCACAGCTGCATAAAGACTGCTTGTCACATGGGTGAAGAACAGAAGAGGATATTAGTCAACATGGGGATGGGGTACTAGGGGGATGAGCAGGAGTGATGTGGACTTGGGTCCCCTCAGCCAGAATATCTGCTGGTAGTCTGGGAGGTTTGTGGGGTCGGTCCTGTTTCATAAATGGGGAACTATATAAGAAGGGTCAGCCTTGGTACTTGGCTTGTCAGTCATGGGTGGGATCCACACCTGATCTGGCAGTTCAAAGTGGCTTGTCCCCAACTCCTGAGGAGGGCTGGGAACAGTCCTTCCTGCTCTCACTTGTGCACATTGGTTCTTGCCACAGCTGAACATCCATGTGGGAAACATCTCCCTGGTTGACCAGTTTGAGTGGGACATGTCGGAGAAGGAGAACTCCCCAGAGAAGTTCGCCCTGAAGCTGTGCTCAGAGCTGGGGTTGGGCGGGGAGTTTGTTACCACCATTGCGTACAGCATCCGGGGACAGCTGAGCTGGCATCAGAAGACCTACGCCTTCAGGTAGGACAGCATGTCCATCCTGACCTCTGGTCTCACATTGCCCTCTCAACTTCCTTACCCATTTTTTCCAAAGTTTGACAGTGATCTGGGTGATCTGTTCTGTCCTCCTCCTGCCTTGTATGTCTTAGCAGGTGCTAAGACTCAGTGCTGCATTGGTGAGGTCCTAAAGTTCTTGCCTCTGTACTCCTGTCCCAAGTCTTCCCAGGGCCATCCTGGGGCCCTCCATCCTCTATCCCACCTCCTCCGTCCACGTAGGTGTCCCTCCCTAGCCAGCCCAGCTCTGCCCTCTATTTGTACAGCCTCTTCTTTCTGTCAGGATTGCCTCACACCCACCCAAGTTTTCATCAGTCTTAAACAAGGGCTTTCAAAGCTTACGAACTGTGAGGGAGTCTCTGGCAGCTCATTCAGTCAGAAGTTGGGCGAACACCATTTGGGGCTAGATGCCATACTGGGTGCCATGGAAGAGGAGGCAGCTCACCCTGACCCTGCCTACAGCATCAGTCTGACTGTGTGAACAGAACCCTCTAGTCCTCCAACCTCCAAAGAACCTTTTAGTCAGTGGTCTCTGGACCTCACCTGCCTTATCAGGCTTGCAGGAAATGAAAGCCCTGTAGTTTCTAATCTGTCTTCCAAGAACCTATTCTGGTTAGAATGGTGTGTGATGTTATTGCCTGGGCATGGCAGCGTACCCCTGTAATCCCAGCACAGGGGTGAGGGCTAGCAGAGGCATCTCTGTGAGTTCAAGGCCATTCTGGTCTACACTCACTGAGTTCCAGGCCAGCCAGTGCTACATAGACCCTGTTTCCGAAATCAAAAACAAGATGTTAGGACTGGTTATGTCATAAGACTGTTGAAATCCACATACTCATCACTCTGAAAACAGTCCTAGAGTACTCAGGAAAAGGGAGGACGAATCCTTTTTGCAAAGACAAAGCAATTTAGGGAGTTTTTCAGCAAGTATTTTGGCTCAACTAGGTTTCCCAGACATCCCAAGAATCAGCTTTCTTAGGGCTTCCTATAAGTCTGAGCAAGAGAAAACTGAAGGCATGCCCACCAGGTAGGAGCCCCCTGGTCCCAAGGACTTGTAAGCTGAACAGGCACATGAGGTGTCTGCTGTGACCCTCTCCTGCCAAGCGTCTCACTGGCTGAGCAGCTCTGTCTCCCAACCAGCCAGACCTGGTGTGCTCTTTATACCTGTGTGCTCAACCCAGGTAGGTAGCTGGGATGATATCCATACTGGAAGAGACCTAGCAGTGACAGGGGACATTAGAGTCAGAGGCCAGCTCTTCCTGCACATCACAGTCCAGGGGGTGGAAGTTCAGCCCACTGTGGGAAGGCAAACTGCTGGAACTCATCTCCTCTGATGCTCAGTGAATTCTCACTTGGAACTAGGGACTTCTTAACCACTTCCGCTCCCCAGTAAGACAGTTGTCCCCACCAGCCCTATAGTCTCTTGGGGGAAGGAGCCTTGGCGTGGTCTCTGCCATGCACTGAGTCACACAACCCCCTAAGACAAGTTTTAAGTTCTAAGCCTTCATCACTTCATGTTGGAAGCATATTAAATTCTTTCCAGCCAGTCCGCCAGTCCCTTTGTGTCCATGGCCCCAACTGACTTTAGTTATATTACCAGTGCAGTGGAGAGCTGCTGGTCACAGGACATGTGGAGCAAAGTTATAATGCTCATGCATTAGGGGAGGGGCATGTCTTTTAGCAGTGGGGCAGGCAGGTCTGGTACAGGCCAGGGCAGGAAGCATGAGGGAAAAAGGGGTGTATGACAGACTAGTGAGGGGCTCCAGGCTTCTAGAGCACAGAATTGGATTATAGCAATACAGACATCCCAGCCAAAATGGGGACTGAGGGGCCATGACAAGATGGGAAAATAGGCCTTATGAGAAATGGAGCTACGTTAGTGAGTAGGGAGCTTTCTGCTCTGAAGAGAATTGCCTCCAGCAAGGTTTCTAGTACCTCCCCTAAGCCAGCCCTGTGCTAGAGAGCCAGGAACCAGAGAAGACAGCATCTTGCCTGGTGTAGGAGAAAGACAGGTGTGCACGTGTGGCCGCCATTGTGCTTTGACTTCTAGTGCACCAGAGAAAGGTGTCTGGGGGTGGGCACAGAACCCAAAGTGAAGCTAGCTATGGTGAAGGCTGGATGGGACAGAAAAGGCAGAGAGACAGGCCCAGACAGGGCAAGTGCTCAGAGAAAGAAGGTAACACTGCCCTCTCTCAGCACTGTATGGGCTTAGGCGCTAGCATCTGTTCTCTAGGGTTTACACCTATGGCCCCTACCAGGCTCATATGCTAGACAGAGAGGTGAAGATGGTCCAGGTCAGAGAGCTTAGCAGCTGGGCCTAAATGAGGAGAGAGACATGTTCCTCCACTGGAGCAGCATCAGGAATTAGGTAGGAAGACTCCTAGGCCCTTTGGACTGCTTGGGTGTGGGCCGCTGAGGAGCTAGCCAGCCTAACCTGATAGTAGGTTATGGCTTGTTTTATTTATTTATTTATTTTTTGTTTTCCTCCTTTTTTATTAAGAAAATAAAAATCTAAAACAATTTTTGGTTTAAAAACTATTTAATTTTTACAGTACTGGAGATCGAAATTAGAGCCTTAGGCGATTCTACCACTGAGCTACACCCTCAACCCTCTTTGACTTTTATTGTGAGGCAGGCTCATACTAACATGCTGGTTTAGGTCTCATTCTATAGTCCCATGTAGACCTTGAACTTCTGATCCTCCTGGCTCTGCCTCCTAGGTGCTTGGATGACAGGTATGAGTTACCATGCCTGGCCTTTTTGTTTGGGTGGTTAGTTTTGTTTTCTTTTAATTATTTTTATGTGTATGAGTGTACTGCCTGCATGTATGTAAGTGCACCCGTGTTGTGCAGTGCCCATGGAGGTCAGAAGAAGGTGTCGGATTCCCCTGGAACTGGAGTTGCTGATGGTTGTTAGCTGCCATGTGGGTGCTGGGACTCGAACCCAGATCCTCTGCAAGAGCAGCCAGTGACCTTAACCATGGAGCCATATCTCCAGTCCCTGTTTTGGTTTGAGACAGGGTCTTGCTACATAGCCCAGGCTGGAACTGAGTGGCCCTTTATTAGCTTCCTAACGTAATGTTTTCAGGGATCATCTATGTTGAAACATCCGAACTCCATTCTTACAGCTGAATAATGTTCTTAAATACAGATTTTTGATTGACTTGTCTGCTTTGGGGGTATAGTAAATAATGCTATCATTTGTGTATGTCTGTGTTTAAACCCCTTTTTCAGTTCTCTTGGATATAGAGCCAGTAATAGTGTTGCTGGATTATATGGTAATGCTGGTTAACTTCTGTTTTGCTGTTTGATTGAGATAAGGTCATAGCCCTTGCTAGCCTAAAACTGTGTAGCCCAGGCTGGCCTCTAATTCATAGCAATCCTCCTGGCCTAGCCCCTTGAGAGCTGAGATTGCAGGCATGGCCATCACACCTGGCATTTGAGACTCCACTGTGGCTGCACCATGTACATGCCCACCAGCACTGAGGGTTCCAGTTCTCCATCCTGCTAGCACTTACTCTGATTGCAGCCATCCTGTAGAGCCATCCTACAGAGATTGTAGCTTGGTATTGCCAGACCCGAATGATACTGAGCATCTTCTCACAAATTTTAGGTCATCATGTATTTTTATAAAAGGCTTGTTTAAGCCTTTCACCTTAAAAAAATTTTTTTTCATTTGTTTATTTTGTGTGTGTGAGCAAGTGTGTGCCACAGCATGCCTATGTAGGTCAGAGGAAAACCTGTGGGAGTCAGCTCTCTCCTTCCACCATGTGGATTCCTGGGGTGAATTCAAGTTGTTAGTCTTGGCTGCAAGCCCCTTTATCTGCTGAACCATCTCACCAGCTCATGACTCATTTACCTGCCCCCCCCCCTTTTTTGGTGTTTTGAGACAGGGTCTCCCTGTAGCCCTAGTTGGCCTGGCCTGGAACTCACTATATAGACCAGGCTGGCCTCGAACTCACAGAGATCCACCTGCCTCTGCCTCCCAAGTGCTGGGATTAAAGGCGTGCACCACCATGCCCAGCTATTTCTCCCTTATATTGTGTGTGTGTCCATATGTGTGTGTACACGCACATCTGTGCTATGGAAATGCATGAGTGGAGGTCAGAGGACGACATGTAAGAGATAGTTCTCTGCTTCTACCATGTAAGCCCCAGGGATTGAACTCAGGTGGTCTTGCTGGCCCATTTTTAGCTGGGCAGGCTTTGTATTGTTGAAGAGTTCTTCATGTATGTTAGACATTCATCCCTTAGATACCTTATGTCAGTATTTTTCCTGTTCTGTGGCTTGCCTTTTACCTTTTTTATAATGTCCTTTGAGGCATAAAAATTATTTTGATGTAGTCCAGTTCACCTGTTATTTTAGTTGGTTGCTGATTTTTTCGGTGTCACATCTAAGAAAACATTGCATAATACAGTCATGTTATATAAACAGCATGCTGGAAAGACTGCCCTTTCCCCAATGAGTGATTTAGAACTCTCATCAAAAATTAGTTCATACTAGGGCCGGGTGTGGTAGTGCTTGCCTTTACCTTGCACTTGGGAGGTAGAGGCAGGTAGATCTCTGTGAGTTCAAGGCCAGCCTAGACTACCTAAAAAGTTTTGGGCCAGCCAGGGCTACATAGTAAGACTCTGTCTCAAAAAGAAAAAAAGTTCATCCTAGGCATGGTAGTCTCAGGTTGCAAACATAAGGGTGACTGTACAACTGATCTCTTGTTCCTCCCAGTTGAGTGGCCTTGTGCAGCTCATTTTCCTCCTTAAGTCTCTTATAGGGTAGGGATGATACTGTTTCTCAATCTGCCTCTGTCAAAGGGCATAAAAATGAAACTGTATATCAAAAGAAAACCTGAAGACATTCCACAAGCCTCAGTCTCCACTCCCACCTCACACAGCCTTCCAGCATAAGTGTCTGGGCCCCTGCCTGGACACCTCAGGGTGGCAGAAAAATGTCCAGGGACCTTCCTGACCTCAAAGCTCAGGAGTCAGAATCCCCTGAGAAGTGGAAGCTGGTTGGCTACAGTAGCCCCCAAACTGGAACTCAGGACAGCATCTCTGCCTGCACGTTTCCCATAAACCTGAAGCAATGGTGCTGACCAGTGCTAATTGTTCTTACTTTAGAACAGACCCACTGGAGTGGAATCTTCCCAGAGTCCAGGGGAGGTAAACAAAGGGCCTGTTCGCCAGCTCTTGTTTAAATTCAGAGGAAAACATGTTTTGCTTCTGTCAGCTTGGGCTTGGTGCCTTTCACATCTGCCCTCTTGAGGGAGGCAATCTGGAAGTGAGGGATGATGTTAGGGGTCTGTGGCTAGGCTGTTCCTGGATTTCCAAATCCAGCTGCTGGGGAAGGGTTGGTCCCAGGGCCCCAGGAGACTACAAGAGTGGGGGCAGATTGGTTCCTGGCCTCTTGAATCACCAGCATGAGCCTGGGCTTCCACGCCATGTGGGTCCTATGGGTATGAATGATGTGGGCTGAGCATCAGGAGTAAGAAGTCAGACCTGCTTCTGCCAAGAAGCTAGAGCTACCCTGGTTGTGGTACCAGCCTTGCCACACTCTGTTCTTGGTCCAGGTTCAAGGTCCTGAAACCTTTAGCTAAGAATTGTTCCAGCTCGACCTTCCTGAGCTGGGCCAGGGACAAGCTGTCAGCTGCTAGTGTGTGGCGTGTGCTGGCTTGGTATGGTGATGGGGAATGGGGACTCTGATATCAAACCTGGTAGGGGGCTGCCTCTCTATAGCTCACCATTCCAGAAGCCTGAGGGAGGCAGTAGAGGAGGACCCTGGCTCCTAGGAAGCTTCTGCAGTGAACAAACGTTGGCTGCTTTAACTCCAACACTAGAGTTTGCTCCCATATTTCAGAGAAAAAACAGATTAAGCAGCTGTCTTTATCTCATCTTCATCTGCCAAGCACCCCTTAGGGCCTGCCTGCCCTCACTTCTCCCAGAGCTGACAGGGTATTGCAGAGCAGTAGGGTGGGCAGACACCTGATAGGGCTGTGTAGGTAGAACAGGGTGGTCTGATCCTGAGGCATTGAGCCTCAGGAGACAAGGGGCAGCCACTCAGCTGCTGGAGAGAAAAGGCCATAGAAGGCTGATGTGACAGTAGAGGAAGAGGAGAGGATCTGGTTAGGGCCTTGCTGTAACTTTCTGCCAGGCAGGGGTTTGGTGTGACACCAGAGTGCCTCCTTAGCTTCCTCTTGCAGGTTTGGAGACCAAGATCCAGAGGGGCAGTAGCTCAGTCACTCCTGGGCCCTTGCTGACCTACTCCCACAGCTGTGTCCATTTTCAGAGACATGCAGATGACCCCTTAGAGTTGAGTCATGTGGTGTCTGAGTCTGTAGATACGATTTCTAGGTCTAGCTCTGTCAACCAGTTGTCTGTAAGCAATAGGTTGGCTTCTCTGGGGCTTAGTGTGGATCCTATGAAGTAGGCTGAGGGATAGATGTGTAGAACACTAGAGAGCAGGCCAAGCCAGGGGCCCTCCAGGAAAAGGTTGAGGTCTTTGGGGAAGTCTTCATTCCCCCCATAGATGTCTCTCTGATCAGTGGGTCCCAGCCCTGGACAGAATGGGGTAAGACAGGTCTCCTAGCTGCAGTTCAGCAACAGTGCCTGAGCCAGCTACACTGTTCTATCAGGGGAACCCATCTCCATAACCAGCAGCTCCCTCCCTCATCTCCCAGATATCAAGGGGAGTTGGCTTGGAAGGAGGGCCTGCTGGTGACGGGCAGTACTGTTGCTGCTGGGGCAGGTCCTGGTATCTTCAGCGGTTGCTTGAGGCTCATTGACAGAAGCATCCCCAGCTACCCATCAGCATTGCTGCTGAGATGACCTAGGACAAGGAAATGGGCCATGTCCTGACCACCTGCTATGGGATAGAGTGGGGAGCAGTGATTTCTGGGGACATTCCAGCTGCTGGCCTATGAACTAGCTCTTGTTCCTCTCCCTGCCTCCCCTCCCACAGTGAGAACCCACTCCCCACCGTAGAGATTGCCATTCGGAATACGGGTGATGCTGACCAGTGGTGCCCCCTGCTGGAGACCCTGACTGATGCTGAGATGGAAAAGAAGATCCGAGACCAGGACAGGAACACAAGGTACACCACCCACAGGAACTCTTCCTAGGCAGACGCAGGGACATACCCTCCCCAAGAACCCAGTTTCGAGAGGTAGTTTAGGGGGTTAAGAGTGGGAGGGGATCAGTCCCTTTGGTACATTTCTTGGAACAAAAGCAAGTTCTTAGGTCATGTTTGCCACAGTCCCAAGCAGGAGTCTGGAGAGATGGACAGGGCCTGTGCAGCAGACTTGCCTACCCTTGCTGGATGGGCCCCACACCTAGCTACTCTACAGAGCCTTGCAAGGGAAGTGGGCTGTGACGGGCCCCAGCTGACCACCTGTTCTTCTTTAGGCGAATGAGGCGTCTTGCCAACACCGCCCCAGCCTGGTGACCAGGTCAACCGTGCTCAGCTCCCACAGAGTACCTTGGAAGACTGGTCTGCCTTTCCCTCTTCTGTGACAAGGAGAAAGGCAAGGAAGAGGACAGCTGGTGCCATCCTGAGGAATGGGGTCAGATGGGAACCTCCAGGGCACCTTCCCTTAGCACACATTCCATATGCAAAGCTCCAGTCCTGTTCTCCCATGCCCAGTACTGTCCCCCAGAGTCTGGAGTCAGGAAGAAGCTTCAGTTTGGGTTGTGTTTTGTTTTTGTATAGGAGCCCTAGCAGGGCTAACAACACGTTTTAAATAAAAGGCAACATGTTCAATTTCTTGAATGTGGCAATATAAGAATGAGAGCCAGGGTGGGGATCGAGATAGAATCTGCCTTGGGGGAGAGGTAGATGGCCAAGGGTGATGTGCCAGCTTCACCCTTCTTTGTCTCAAATTCCCAGGTGGGTGAATGGGGATTAAGAGTCTCCACACTCAGCCAGCCTAAAGGCCCCTAAAGCAAAGCCCACTCCTTGCTCTTCCTTGGGCCTTCCAGCTTCCTAGTGGCCAGATGTGCTCAGCAAGTCTTTGAAGATGTAACAGGAATGTGGTTGTGTGGCCCAGGGTGGGGACCCATCCCTGCTCCTTTGCTGGCCCTGGTTCCTCCTGCTGCATCTAGATGGACTGCTGCCAGCTAGGGTCTTCTTGTTCTAGAGCCCCTTTCAGAAGGCCTAGTCCTTGGTGGGCAGCACTTGGACATCACTAGCCTGTATACAGGAAGTCTTTTGTACCCTAGACTTATCACCACTCCAAACAGGTTAACTTGAGTCCATCTCCACTGTAGCTTGGGCCATCTTCTCCCTCTCCAGCCTGTTGTAAAGAATAGGGAATAACATACCCAGCCCTGAGCCACTCTTTGCAATTGGTAGTATGTGGTAGCTCTGTAGCTGTGCTTGGGCTAAACTTGCTGTCCCCTTTACCTTTGTTTGTATTGTGGAATGAACTTACGTTCCATTAGGCAGCATGTATAGGTCTGTATCGAACCACACTCTCTTTGGCAAACGGGGCATACAGGTTCTTATTGAAGATGGTGACCCCAGACCCTCAGCTCCAGGCTGCTGCCACCCTTCATCTCAGCAGGTCCTTCTTGCATAGGGCAAGGCTGAGGGGCAGAGGCTACTTTCCTCCTAGGGAGTGTGGCAAGAACTCCGTATTTCCTTCCCACTTAAGCATATGCAGGGCAGGGTGGGGCTCTTGGTTGCCAGGATGTGGGCAGCCCAACCCTCTGGCCAGAAGCCCCCATGAGCACATCCTAGAATGTGACCATCACCCCTCCAGGGGGTTTGCTTTCAGGACCTGTGCCTGGCAGAGGGGAACATACCAAACACTCAGAATAATAGAAAAGCTAAGCTTTATTGGAAGACCCTGCCCAAGAGGAAGATTCCGGGCCTGGCTGGCCATGGAATGGGCTCCTTTGCTGTGGCTGTCCTGAGCTACCACACTGAATAGGATGGGAGGAACTCTGCCCACCTCAACCTGGGCAGGTAAGTTCACCTGCCTGGGAGGAGCTGTCACTCACCTCAACCTGGGCAGGTAAGTTCACCTGCCTGGGAGGAGCTGTCACTCTCCAGATCCTGCCAGCTTTAAGCACTTCCAGTCCACATAGCAACACAGCAGCTACCTCACTAGGTTTCACTACAAAATTTAAATCAAGACTCGACAGGAACGTTATTGTTACTGTGGAAACAACAGGCAGTGGCTAAGGAAATTCTCAGGTTGCTGGGCATCCAGCAGTAAGCTCTACTGGAGCAGACCTAGAGCAACAAGGAAAGCTGGCCACATTTGATGCCTGTGGTTCAGAAAAGACAAGGAAACCACAGTTGGGAGAGGGCTCAGATGGGCCTTTGGCTGAAAGGCAAACAAAACTTCCCAGAAGCCTCTGCCATGCTCAGGGTGCTGCTAAGATAGAGTTCAAGGGCCTGGCTCACAGGTAGGGCAGAGGACCCAAACCTGGCTCTCTGCACCAAAGCCCATGGGTTGGGGCCTTTCGGTCACTGGAAAAGGAGATGAAGACTCACTTGCTGAGGCTTTAGATGAGGATGGACAGGCTAGATGGATGGGCATGGTCCTGGCCCCAGCCCTGAGGTCTGGATGACTGGTGGGGAAGAGGCCTGGGTGACGAGGTTTGTTCCGAGTTCCATCAAGGCACTGGCAGCATGGGGATGAGAACACTAGGTCTGTCATGAGCTCGGCACTCTCTTGGGCCTCCATAGGCAGTCTCTGCCCTCTGTGGGCCCTGAGTCCTACCACCTGTGGAGAAGGCAAAAGCAGAGAGCAGGCAGAGAAGAGTGTGGGATCGTGTGGCTGGCTGAGCTGAGGCAGGCCCAGTCTCCAGAATGGGTTCCTATGCTGTAGCTTAGGTGGAGAGGATAGGTCCACCAGGCGCCTCAGGCTGGCCAGGATGGGCTCACTGGTCTGGGGGCTGCAGGTGAAGTTCTGGCTGCTCCTCAGGAAGGGGCAGGTAATTGGGGTCCTCCTGAGGGTCATCTAGTAGCAGTTTCCTGTGAGGAGGAAACTGAGCTGAGGCAAACGCAGTTTCACCCATGGAGTGGATTGCTCCATGAGGGAGGGGAGGGGGCTGTCATCGCCAGCACTCACAGAAAGCTGGGGGTCAGCAGCAGCCTCTTGCCTCCAGGCTGGTTGGGAAAGACATCTTCCAGGAAGTAGTAGATGTGGCCCACAGCAATCCCTGTGAGAGAGCCAAAGGCTGGAAGAGGCCATCCTCCACAGCCCAGCGTAACCCCAGGTTCCAGAGCACAAGTATCCCAATGCTCACCAGTCCAGGGCAAGCCCAGAGCTGGCCTTGAAAAACAGCCTTAAAGTACCAGAAGTGAAAGGGGAGGGAAACACAGGTCCTGGGAACACTAAGGGAGCCACTGAGCAGAAGCCAGCTACCCCCAGGGAGGAGCACAGGAGTGGCTGCAGATGCAAATCCTGTGGGCCAGCTGGACTGCTTGGGGTGGGGGTGGGGGGCATCAAGAACGGTAGTTCAGACAGGAAGAGGGGGCAGGGAGGCAGGTGAGAGGTCCAGTGCAGTGTGTGTGGTGGGGGGAGCAGCTGGGCCAGGGTGAGTAGGAAGGACAGACAGGCTCACCTAGCAGGTCTGTGAGGACCGAGTTGCCCAACAGCAGCGAGAAGCCCATGAGGGCCCAGGGCAGGAACGGTGCCTGGAAGTTGAGTAGGCCGAAGAAGTTGACCCTCACCTGAGGGCTGCGGCGGCTCCATACGTACACCAGCATAGCCATGAGGGCCTGCCCCAGGAAAAAGAGGCTGCCCAGAAGTCCCAGCAGCTGGACCAGAGTCAAGGTACCCTGGAGCAGGTCTCAATTGCCCACAGGGCCCCTGACTCCGTCCACTGGTTCCCGTTCCCTACTAGCTCTTGTCCTTTCCCTATCAAGATACCTTCATGTAGGCCCTCAAGTACCAAGGGTCCATCACTGCCCGTTCGTGCCCCGGTTTCTTCTGGCTCTTGCATCAGGTTTGGAAGTTCAGGTACTCCACCTGCCTTCCCTACATCACACTGTTCTGCACTGATGTTCAACACCTAGCCTGGCCATATATGGCTGAGCAAGACATTCTGGGCCCTGAACGCCTGTCTTTCCGGGCCTGGGGGCCTCATGTCGGGCCTTAGGGCCAAGATAGGCCTGACGGATGTCCCTTGACCCAAGGTCACAATTCTCCAGGAAGGATACAGTCATAAGGAAACCACCGAAGAGAAACATGAAGACGAAATCGGCCTTGCGACCGCGGAAGGATCCCTCCTCCAGCATGCGACAGTAGCGGAACCTACAATATCTGTATAGGAAGTGCCACGCTGCGGGACCTCAGTTTCCCTGCTCCATGACTATCCTAGCCCGGCACACCCCTCCCACCCCGGCGGCTCAGGATACACGAAGAGCATGTTGAAGAAGAAACCGAATCCCAGGGGCCCGAAGAAGAGGAAGTTGGTGAAGAGCCTCCAGACCTGCAAAGGGTTCGGGGATGGCGGTGAGGACTGGGCTGACCGCGCGGGGCCTGGCCCGCAGGTACACGAGGCAGGGCGGGCTCACCTGGAACTTCCGGAACACGAGATGCGGGTTGAAGTACAGTTGGAAGGGGGTGAGGAACTCCAACTGCTGTGGAACCAGGAGCCCGTGAGAGGCTGAGACCCCGGCGACCCTCCTTGATCCCCCCTTTCCCTGCTAGGGCTGGTAACCACGGTGACGCCACGCCCGCCCAGCCCACTCACCACCGCAGCCGTGGTGAGGACGCAGGCCGCCGTGTACGCACGTGTCACCGTGGGAACCTGAAAGAACCCGGCCGCCAGCCCTTGCCACGCCATTGAAACTCTTCGGGCACCCCGGCCCGGCCCGCGCGCTCTTAACCCGCCTCCAAGCCCCGCCCCTGGGATGTGGCCAATCGACGTGCGAGGAGCCTAGCGCCCGGGGTGGGGGGCGGGGCAATGGGCCCGTTCAGCCAATGGGAAGAGGCAGCGGGCAGCCGGGCGGGATGGGCGTGTTCACGTGGCTAGCCAATGAGGAAGGCCCACGGAGGAGCACGCGGCAGTTGTTGTGGCGGTCAGGGAGGCGTGGGACGATGAGTGGCCAATGGGAAGCTGAGCGCCTGGCAGCATCACAGGAGGGCCAATGGTGAGCGCCCACGAAGTCACTACAGGGGTGGGGCTATAGTTACCGCGCTTGGAAGAAGGGAACCTCCAGGTGCGAAAGGACCGGAAAGGGGCGGGCCTAGACTGGTCCCAAGGTGCAGGCCCCTCGCCTACCTGGCCTTTTCGCTTCTGAGAGCCAAGGGCAGGCTCGCTTCACCCACAGCAAAGGGAGCTCTGGGAACATTTCCAAATCCCCCTACAGGTCTAGGGTTCAGCTAGCGTGTGGCCGGCACCTTCCTCCGGGTATGCTGGGGGAGGGACCCGGCTGCAGACTTGCAGCTCCCGGTGGAATGCCTGGGTTCTGAGGCTGAAACAAGTGGGCAATCTGCAGAGGGAGTTGCTATTTTGGTAGAATGGAGAAACGCCATTTAGTCAAGCATTTATTGAGCACCTTCTGTGTGTTGGGCACTCTTGCTAAATGCTGGGGATACTACAGCCATCAAAAGGCACTGTCCTTCAATGCTGACAGCACAATGCACTGATGGAAAATAATGCCAAGTGAAGGCTAAGGACCAGAGATGGACCTCCAGCCTATGTGAGGAGGTGACGTTAGATTGCCACTTTTCAAAGATTTCTTTGCCCATCAGGATAGTTATACAAACAAATCCTGTCTGGGATATGGAAGAGTACAAATCCGTGTGATTTTGGGGAGACCATGAAATGGTGCAGGCACTGTGGAAAACAGTGTAGCTAGTACTCAAAACATTAAAAATAAAATCATCACTGGGTACATGCCTTTAATCCCAGCACTCAGGAGGCAGAGGCAGAGGTAGGTGGATCTCTGTAAGTTCAAGGCCAGCCTGGTTTACACAGAAAGTTCCAAACCATTCCAAACCAGCCAGGGTTACATAATGAGATGCTGTCTATAAATAAATACAAATAAATAAAATTATCAAGTTGGCCTATAATCCCAGCACTCAGGAATTAGAGGCAGAGTAGTGAGTTATTGGCCAGCCTGAGCTACATAATAAGATCCTATCTCAGAAACCAAAATAACAATTATTAATTAAAAATGTAAATATGGAAATGCTTCTTCTAAGTATGTGGTTATTAAATAAATAATTTTTTTTAAAAGATTCTTCCATTGTGTTTATCTTCTAGTGGAGGTGTGGGCACTAACTCTTTTAACTCTAACCTTTTAACTCTAACATCAACCCTATCTAATATGACATGTATGATAAAGTCTGTAAACTAGAGGAAGATGAATAATATGAAGTTTCAGATTTTAATTTCATAGACGGTACCTTTCATAGAAGGTACTTAATTTCATAGAAGGTACCCATAGAAGGGTCTTTCTATAAAAACCTGATTTATGAGCCAAGCGTGGTGGCACACACCTTTAATCTCAATGGTGGTGCACGCCTTTAATCCCAGCACGCGGGAGGCAGAGGCAGGTGGATCCTCTGTGAGTCTGAAGCCAGCCTGGTCTACAGAGTGAGTTCCAGGCAGCTGGAGCTACAGGGAGACCCTGTCTCAAAAAGATCCCCCCCCAAAAATGTAAATATGGAATTACCATATGACCTGCAAGTCTGACAGAAGAACCGAAGGAAGTGACTTACAGAGATTTTTTAATGTAATTTTTAATTTTCAGTTAGCATATAGAGTGATGAATTTCATGACTGCATTCTCATGCATTTTTATCATTATACTGTTCTCATTTATACACTCATGGATATAGCATTACAATAGCCAAAAGGGTGAAGCAACCCAAGTGTCTTTTGACAGGTGACTGGAGAAGCAAAATGCAGTGTGTGGAATATTATTCAGCCCTAGAGGAATGAAATTCCAGCCTAGTCTACATAGAGAGTTCCAGGATAGCTAGGGCTACATAGCGAGACTTTGTCTCAAAAAGGGGAAGAAATCTCTGAGAGAGTGGAAGTCTTCAATGAAACATTGTTTGCTGGTCATGACAGGACTGTTGGACACATGAACTCAGCAGTTGTGTCTGCATGCACACCTGTGTGCATAATCCCAGCATGGACAGAGGGAGAATCATGAAGGCCTACCCCTAGCTGAGAAGAAATTGGATGGCTGCGGGGGGGGGGGCTGTCAATTTTCTTCAGAGATGTGGCCCCTGAAAGGCTACACATGCTTTAGTAGAAGGTCCCATATCCCTGGGCATACTGGTAGCACTAAGTGGACTTGGTGGGAAGAGGGGAGGGAAACATTGAGTTGAGGGAAGGTGGTAAGGGGATAGAAGAGGAATTGGGAAGAGGAAATGAGGGGAAGATTTGATCAAGATACATTATATTCAGGGCTGGAGAGTAGTTGGCTCAGCAGTTAAGAGCACTGGCTGTTCTTGCAGAGAACCCAGGTTCAGTTCCCAGCACCCACATAGCAGCTAACAACCGTCCATAACTCCATTTCCAGGGGATCTGACACCCTCTTCTGACCTCTGTAGACATTGCACGACAAGGGTGCACTTACACACATGCAGGCCATATACTCATACACATAACATAATATTTTAAAAATAAGATACATTATATTCACACATGAAATTCTCAGAAAAAAATTTTTAGTATCTCTGAAGGGGGATGGAAAGATAGTTCAGCAATCAAGAGCAATTTCTGCTCTTCCAGAGGCCCTGGGTTTGGTTCCCAGTACCCACATGGTGGCTAACAACTGTCTGTAACAACAGTTCCAAGGGATCCAACACCCTTTTCTGGCCTCCATTGGCACTGCACACACATGGTGCACTTACATACATTCAGGCAAAACAGTCATCTACATAAAATTTGCTTTAATCTAAATATAATTAGTGGGCAGAGGGAGGCTTCAGGAGACAGTGGTGTCTTGGGCAGGGTGGAACCTGGGGTCCAGGAGAGGTGGAAGAGGTTTTACCCAAAATTGAACACAGCTATGAGAGAGGAGTAGAGTGATTCAGAGGTCTGAGCCACAGAGGGTGGATAGTGGTACCTGCTATAGAGGTGGAGAATGCTTGAGAAGGTGGGAGGAACAGTCTTGTTCTGGCCTTCTTGATTTTAAGGCATCTGTAGGGGATTTGCTTGGAGAAAATCTTAAATATGGCATTAGGAGGGACGTGTGAACTGAAAGTCTACCTGTGGCTGTCATTCATCAGTAGGTCAGTGGCATTTGTGACCTGGGCCTCTGAGATATCCCTAAGAGTTTAGGGTAGACGGAGAAACCAGGCCAGGGCAACAGTGAGAGAAAGAAGGCAAACCCAGGCAGGGAGGCCAAGAGGGGAGCGGCCCAGGAGCCAAGCCAGAAAGGACTTCAAGTCAGAGCAAGGCAGTGAGCAGCCCAGGGGAGGGGAGGCCTGGGAAGGGACTGTGGGTTAGTGGGTTACAGCCATGCAAAGTCCCTGTGGTCAGGATGGTGGCAGGCAGGAGGGAAAGGAAGACGCCCACTCAGATGTGCCTTTGTCATGGGGAAGTCAGCTTTGGGCATCCGTGTGGAAGATGGAGTATGATCTGGACGGAGCCCCTTAGGAAATGATCTGGCCAAGAGAGAAACTAACTACCTGATTAGGTTGCCTTAGGTGGATGCCAAGAACAGGAGGGTCCCACAAGGACAGTGAGGGGCGTCTGTGGGAACCAGTGCATGGTGAGAGTGGAGAACTGGGATTCCTGACATGGGTGTGCCTTGCACAGCCTGTAGGATGTTCACTCACTTCATGCTCCATGGTCCTGATACAGTAGAGTTTGGACTGGAGCACCGAGAAGTGGGAGTGGGGTAGGAGCCACCCCCCACAGCAGTTATTCCAGTGAAGTAGGCCAAGGTCACGCTCTGGGCGGGCCAGGCAGAACAGATCCCACCCAGCCAGTGGTGGTGATGGGCAGCACTGGGGGATCCAGGGCCTCTCACGCCAGGGCTGTTGTCTATCTGGTAAAGGAGCCTGGGGGCGGGGTTCATCTGGTGGGTCGGGTTTCATGCCAGCCTAGGAAAGGGAAGGCATTCCCTTAGTGGGTGCTAGCCACCCTACACCCAGGGTCAGGCTGGGGCCAACAGGAGGGGCTGTTGTTGTTGGGGAGGCAAGGACATCTGTCTCCCCTGAGATTGGGGGCCGATAAGGAAGGCGCCTGGATTGGGGGACCTGAGAAACACATTCCTGGGAGGCTGGAGCCCAGGACTGGAGTAAGCAATCAGCTTGTCTGGAGGCAAGTTGGGCCAGCCTTAGGGGAGGGGTGAGCAACACCAAGCAAGCCTCTGCAGTTGCTGCCAGTGCAGATAGCCTCAGATGGGGAAACTGAGACTGAGTGGGAAGCAGAGCAGTGCCTGGGACAGAACTCCGTTTCCAGTCCTGAGTCCTCTGGACTGGTCCCTGGTAGCAGACTCCTCTGTCCACTGTCGCAGCCCTATTCAGGAACCTGGAGAGTTGCTGGTGGAGAAAAGCTCTGGGCACCCCGAGTTCTAGGGACCTAGAGACATAGGCAGTGCTGGGCTCAGCTTGGCTGGGTTCTCTCTTTCTCTCTCTCCCTCCCTTCTGAGTCAAGCACTGTGGGACTCTGCAAAACAGCATGAGCTCTGCTCCCACCCCTCTCAATCTGGGACTGACCCTGCTGCAAATCAGAAACTTCCAGGGTCCCAGGTGTGAGGCCTGTCTCAGGCTTTCCCAGCGCCCACAGGCCGGATTTACATGCTTGCTGAGCTTCCCTCCTTCTGGAGGGCTTACACAGCAGGACAGACCCTTATCAGTCCTGGTGACCATCCCGCACATACATGGGGTCACCTCTTCTCCCACTGCCCCACGCTG